GAGGTAATCCGTATTGTATTTTGAAGGTCAATATTCCACAATCTACTCAGAATAAAGCAACATCCTCTAGTTACTGGGTAGTTAGTTATAGAGCTTTTTGTTTTCAGTTTCATGTATTAGGCATCTTCAAAATTACTTGATTAACCTATAATTGTATTGCTCGCCGAAGGAAGTGTCTTCATCAACCTTCTGTCTATCCCACAAACTCCAATTTATAGAATCATCTAGGTTAAGGGGTAACAGTGCTCGCTACCTGGCCTCTATTTCCTTTTTTGCCTCTCCTTTTATGCCGCAGTATCATAGCCATTGACCTCAGCCAGAGTCCTTCCCAGTGCGTCTAAAAACCTTGTGGCCTCGGTCTCCGTCCCAACCGTAATCCGCAGACAGCCAAGGCACCCATGCTCCTTACCCCTGAACCGTACCACAACGCCTTTATTCTCGGCCAACTTCTCATACACAACCAGCGCCGTAGTATTATCTGGCTGCCCATCTTTATTCAGCATTTCGTAAAGCAAGAAGTTACTCTCGACGCCACCTCGTAGACGTCCGACTCCCTTAACCTTGGGGAGTTCCTGAATCAAGCGATCCCGCTGCGCGACAAGCTTGTCTCGATTCGCACGCATGACCGCCAGCCCATCTGAAGAGAATGCATATATAGCCAACGCACTCGTCGGGCTTGGGATGTTATACGGCGCCTTCATGCTATTCAAGAGTCGTGCAATAGGTGCTGATGTGAATACGGAACCAAGCCGAATACCCGCCATGCCGAAGCCCTTGGATGACGTCTGCATAACGGCCAGGTTGGGCCATTCGGCGACCCACTCAGCAAGTGACGCACCATCGGGTGAGAAGTCAATGTAGGCCTCATCGACGATGACCACACCATTCCACGTCGGGTGTTCTAACAGCTGCTTGATATCCGCCTTTGCGAGTGGGGCGCCTGTCGGATTTCCCGGCGAGCACAAGTACAGTAACTTGATGTTTGGCTCATCTGACAGGGCCTGTCTTATCTTTGCGACGTCGAGCGCAAATGTAGGTGCAGGCAGGAGCGGTATCTTGACTAGGCCCACGTCGTTGACCTGTGCTGACACGGAATACATGCCGTAGGTAGGCGGACAAACTAGGATCCTGTCTCGGCCGGGAACACAGAAACACCGCATGAGGCTATCAATAGCCTCGTCACTCCCGACACCAACAAATAAGTTGTCGGGCGTGATCTTCTTGTCTGTGTGATGGTGAGTGTTCCTCAGATCACAGAGCAACTGCTTTAACTCCAATTGGTGCGGATCTGGATATCTGTGCAGGCGCACGAAGTCAATCTCGGGGACTGACGATGTAGTGGCTGATGCTGTCGAGGCAGTGGCCGCAGCAGTCAAGGACGGCCCGAAGGCGTTCTCGTTTGCATCTAGTAAGATATTTGTGCCATTGTCCTTGTAGTCGCTAGATTTAGAATGTCAGCCTTTGCACATAACACGCAAAGAATTCCAGGTTTCTCATTCTTACTCTCTCGCACACCGGTACGGCTCGAGCGCCAAGATATTAGACCTCGCACAGGTCTCCAGGTTGAACGGCGACATGGTCGGCCGACGTGGTTAATATGAGTCGAGTCGCCTTGTCCGCCCAACTCACAAGACTTTTTTGTGCCTGTCCTTCCTTCAATTGGCCTCCGGGGGTATGAGTAGTTAATTTCACTTAATATGACTACCCACCGAGGTTGTCTGATTACTTGAGTCAGAGATCGCGCCGGCAGGCGTTTAGTGACTCCGACGCTGCGGGGCTCCGATCGGAGCAACATTGAAATCATAATTGATAGACCGCATCCATGCATATTCTAGGCGATTTTGCAGTTAACCGGCACACCGCTGAATTGAAATATGAAACTCAGCTCAAATAAACATCCATAGATGTTCATGGACCTAAGCCAAAAAATCAGGACGGGATATCAGATCAGATTTCGTACTTAGTAAAGGATTATGCAGAGACTCACGTAGTTAATTCCAAAATTTTAAATTGTAATAACTTAGTAGCATGTTACCAACTTGTGCTTTTCCAACGCAATACCAAACGCCTCTCGTCTTATATGTATAAAGACACTACTGAACACCGACTCCGGTTACCACGCATTTTTGTCTCCCGACTATCAGCCTATACACGGAAAATTAAAATTGACAGTATCAATACAACAAGGGTTGGAATATAGCCAGCTGCGATAGCATGGGATGCATGATCCGGCTGCTGAGTAGTCGTTGGAGAGATCGTTGGCGAGATTGTGGTCGATTGCGGTGACGTGGCAGACGGTGGGAGTGTATTAGTGGGCGACGTGGTTCCGTCCCTACTCCTGACATGTTTGATTTCACCGTGTTTGAAAGGCGGCTGCGCATCGAAGGCGAGTAGCGCCTGGACTGTTTCGAGAGCCGTCATTGACTGTCCGAGCCCGGGGCTCCCATCATATCCTCCTATGTACCTGAAATCTAGCATTAGTAATTGCTTGAGATTTTAAGACTGATACATGGAGTAACATTGATCTCGAAGCTGGTGGGAAATGAAAACGCAAGACCCAAAAAATACATACCACCTCTCTCCACAGACGGTACTATCATTTCCGCCAGAACAGGCCTTCCCTGCCGCAACAGCAGACGCACGCAGCAATTCTTGAACGCCATGGAGAGTTGAACGCATCATTAGTGTCGTTGCGGCCATGAAGCGAGAGACTACAATGCTCGGGGTTAGCAATCGTCATTTCGGGCATGGTTTTTTTCAGGGGCACGAAAAGCGTCAAGAACAACGGGAAGAAGACGAAAAATGTCGTTGAAAATTACTTACGGTAACCTTTAAACGACTTCATATCCGTATTACACGTGTTAAATAACTCGCAAGCATGTTCATACATGATGTCTGTGGCGTTTGGAAATGGGCTAAAGTATGATCGGGAAGCCTGTAGAAGACCGTTTGTCCGATCCGCCCAAGTCTCGGCTCCATCGGTATAATTGAAGAGTATTGCCGCCCCGTACATATAAATGCCTTGCGAGTAGGAGAAGCTAACTGGGTTAATATTCCGGCACTCGTTAGACGAGCTGGCACCATCGAACACATTGAAATCCTGGTCTATGAGGCCAATATCCTGGGACCAATCCCACACTTTTTCAGACCACCGGAAATAGGTTTCGTTTCCAGTTGCGCGCGCTAGTCGTGCAGATATTTGAAAAAAGCCACCGTTGGATACTGCATTTTTGTAATCGATCCCGTTTGGGTTTGCCGGGTATATCTGCCAGTGTAAGCCACCATTGCAAGTCGTATCATCCCATCTGACGACCATAGTGTTCCATATATTCTCCGCTATTTGTAACCAAGGAGGGATGGAATCGTTCGGCTGAGGAAAGTTACGTTCTGCGGCTTCCAGTATAGAAAAAGCCCAAAATGCTTGATCATCATTGCCTTCGGAGCCAGCATATAACGTGCTCATGAAATCAAAATTAGGACCGACTTGGCTTAACAGCGCTCTACAAAATTAAATTGTTAGAAGTTATGTCTGTGGTGATGACTCAACTCATCATCTGGGTTTCATGAGAACGGGCGGGCCAAAAAAAAAAAGAACTCTGCCGGAATGCGTACTGAGTTATTACATCGTCATAGCTCACATCGCCCGTGTAGTGCGAATAATCCAGCATGGCTCCCCAACAAGCACCGGCTTGCCACCAGTCTATTGCAACAAAAAGTTAGCAAATTAAGTCCGTACTCTAACTCAGAAATGGGCGACATTTTACAATGAGGTTGCGGGAAGATAGCGATAGTCTTATGTAGCACAGTTAGCTATGTCACGCTTGCCCTTGGGAGACGCATATATATGCATACCTCTGGAGTATTTGTGATGTTTCCAGTGTAATAGCTCATTGTGCCATAAGCGATTGTACTGGAAACTGATCTAATGGAACCTACAAGAAAGTTAGTTAATAATAATGCGAATCAATGCAAAGCATTAATATGACCGGACACACACATACCAGGATCATTGATATCAAGGTCTTTCGGCGCTACGAAGGTCGCACCCATCTTGGCAGCATGTACGAAAAATTGGGGGAACGGTTACAGCAGTTCGTCGAAGGAGCGAAATAAACTGTCTAGGAGGCTAGACTACTCATCAAGGAAGTGAAACGTATACCTAACTATTACTCGAAAACGAATCGAGAAGTCCACGAAGCAAAACTGATAGTGGCGATATTTACGAAACTCGTATCATAGTAAGAAACAATGGTTGCTTTCAAGCTTTGAGGGGCCAGCAAAGAAATTACGCAAGTTTAAGGCGTGAGCAATAGCAAAGGTAGCAAGTAGAGCCAGCTCAGTCGCGGTCCAATTTATTGATGAGACTGAGGAAAGGGAGCTAAAATAGGAGATTACTAGGTGCGAAGTGAAGAGGTAGGTTAAGACATGTGTACTACTGTGAAGAGATTGAGGTGGGAATAGAAAGTGAAGCCTTAGTCTCGTTTTCTCACTTTGCGGATCCCAAGAAGCCGCGTCCTAGCGAGTTAAAGATATATGTCGTCATGGGAAATATTAATACAAAGTGAGCCTGCCGAATACGTCGACTGGTGTAGGACTAGCCTTACGATACGGCCGAAGTTCTGGGCCTCCCAGTAAGTAGTAAGTATTTCCTCAATTTACAAAGCCAGGATGCTGCTGATCGGTAAGGTTACCTTTAAATAGCAATTAGAGACATTTAATGTTGCTTCATGTAGTGACACCTGTCACTCCTCACTTGACGATACCCAGGTACTCATATTTAGCCATATATATAAGTTGTATACACAAGAGTACACAGATCAAGGGTCCACTATATATGGGTATGCTGCAAACTTTATTACCGATAAGCTGCCTCATAACCGTTTACAATCGAAACCTTTAATACGCCCAAGGAATCTTGGAGGGTATAAAATATAGAAGTGAGAAAAGAGGAAATTAAAGAGAGAAAAAAGGAGGTATAGGTGGAATTAAACCACCGACGTTGGACTCGCGGGGAATCGAACCCCGGACCACTCCCAAATTTCACAGGCTTCTTGCAAGAAGAAGTAGATGCTAAGGGAGTATTATACCACTAAACCACAAGCCCGGGCGAGGAAAGGAGACCTAGAAGAGACCCCGGCCAATCGTTGTGAGAGTGGTCGTGGGTTTAGTATATGTTCCATTCCGGGAGAGTGATGAAGGAAGTTGGTTGAATGTGTGCTGTTGATCCGCACTTTGCCCTAACCTGCTGGGTCAAGTACATACAGTAGGTAACTAGCTTGGCCCCGCAGATTCCAGGGGACTTGGGCAATCTATACCTACCTGGGTAGGTACACTGAGAAACCGGACCAGATTGGGCCCTTTAAAGATCCGGTCGTCGGAAATGGTGACGGAAATGATGCTGTACTTACCCCCGTTCATTATCGATAACTGTATAGCGCGTTCAGTTACACGCTGTGGACGTGTGCTGTGCTGTAAATACATTCTTCCAACACCAGCTAGTTTCATAGAAAATCCTATCTACATCGTCTTGTTTGTAATTATCTTTACACAGATAGATGACAAAGCTAGCTGGGTAACCTACGCCGCACCGAACGTACTAATTCACCGCCGTTGCGAGACTATGCACATTAATAAGTATATATTTATTAACTCTATCTAGGGGAGAAGCTACGCCATCTCCTGGTCACTAACAGCTGCCCGGTCCCGCTGAAGGTCAACATCTGCCAATGCCACAAACTTCGTTCGGAAGATAACCTTGTGCCCTACGTAAAGGACGAAGAACAAAATAAGACTAACGTAGGCGGCAAAGAATCCACTGGTGCTCCACTTAATGAATACAGTGAACCCATTCGTGATGGTAATGAGCACGCAGAAAAAGAGTCCGTAAATGGTTAGGTAGGGTTGGAAGGGAGCCTTAAAGACCAGGACATCGCGCGACATGCCTCGGTATCGTAATGCTCGCATGAAGACCAGATGACAGATGCTAATACAACACCAGCTGATGAATCCAGCGATACTCGTGATATTCAATAACCAGTGGAAAACGGCGCTTCCGCCGGACGAGAGATTTAGGAAAGCAAGCAGGCCGATGAGTGACGAAAAGCCGACGGCATAATGGGGCGTGCCGAAGCGATTCGTCCGCGCCAAGAACGCGGGTGCATGCCCTTCGTTGGCCAGCGCGACCACTATCCGACTGCTTGAGTATAGGTTAGAATTGGCTGCCGACAACACCGCTGTAAGCAGGACAGCGTTAATGATGTGTGGGAGGACAGGCACGCCAGCCAAATTAGCAGCAATAACCAAAGGTGAGGCAGAGGCGTCGTTGGCGTCGGTGAGAAGGTTTGAGTTGTCGTAGGGTACTATGATGCCGATGAAGAAAATCGTCGCCACGAAAAGTGAGAAGACACCCCAGAATGTCCAGCGGATGGCCCGAGGCACGCTTTTGGCAGGATTCGCCGTCTCGCCTGCACCGACACCCACAAGCTCGGTGCCCTGATATGAGAACCCTGCTGTCACAAGAACAGACCAAAACCCAACGAACTTGCCATTATTTCCGGGGACTATAGATTCGGCAAACGGACCGGGATGAACCCACTAGAACACCCAGAGTCAGTTATCGTCATTCATTTCAAATGTATTTTAGGAATTTCCAGACAATATTTTAACCCAAAAAGCAACGCTTGAACTCTGGAAGCTGACAGAGCAAGAAGAAAATGGTTCCGGGAATACGCACCGTATCAAAACCGAGGTACCCGTGTTGGCCGGCGCCCGCATCGATAGCGATAGCAAAAATAATAAAGCCAATAATAGTGATGACCTTAATAGACACGAAATATGATTCGAACTCTCCGAACCAGCGAACAGGTAGGAAGTTGCAAGCCGTAAAGATAACCCAAAATATTGCGATAAAGATACCGACGCTCAGGGTCTTGTTCCAGTACTGGATGACAAGGCCTGAACCAACGAGCTCTAGGGCATAAGTCGACGCCCAGCTAACTGTAGTGCCATTAGAGTCAGTTATCGTGATTTGGAGCGTAATTTGTGAGAGCTTTTAGGAGGTACCAGACACAATCTTGGCGCAAAAAGGAAAGCACGTGCTCTCAAAGTTACAAAATAGTAAGAAAATGTTTGGAGAATTGCTTACACCAATATATCCAACCCATAGCGAAACCGAGAGAAGGGTCGACGAATCGTGATGCGTAGGCCGTGAAAGATCCCGCGACAGGTATGAAGGTAGCCATTTCTCCCAGGCTTACCATAATGGAGTAGACGATCGAGCCGACGAAGAGAAAAGCAATCAAGCACCCGACAGGCCCTGACGTCGCGAGGGCCGAGCCGCTGCCGAGGAACTACAACATGTTAGGAAAGGACGAGGATACCCCATCACGGATGATGACGACGATTTGAAACTTACAAGTCCCGTGCCAATGGCACTCCCGATAGCGATGAACTGAAGGTGCCAGCTGTTCAGGCCGCGCTGCAGGCCTTCGCCTTCGCCCTCAGCCAGGTCCTTCTGGGAGCCATTGACTGACGGAGCGGCCAGCGCCGCATCTGACACCTTTTTCTCTGATTCCACAGCACGTATCTCCATGGCTCCCTGAGCGTCCTCGCCCGTCGAAGCCAGAGCAGTCTGGTGTAAAGCCATGGTCAGACGCGAAAGTCGAATCGTGGTCCGACGTGTAGGTATAGCAAGTGGGGGATGGCTTGAGCTTGACACATAGAATCTCAAGGAGCGGGTGGGCTATCTAAGTACTATAAAAGAAAGGAAAATAAAATATATACAGTACTGGTGACTCCCTCCCACTTGCCGCCGTAACCTTAATTGCACCGTTCCATTCGCAATGGAGTCACGATAGTCCATCGGACTCCATCGGACGGGAAAAAGTTTCCACTTAGGAGTATGTATGGCCATGATCACCGAACTAACAATCGGAGCACTGTGTGGTGATATACGTGGCGAGGTCGGAAACAAGCTTCTCTACTGTACCTTACTTACAACTCGGTTTCGCTTTGAGCCTACTGTACTTTCCTTACGCACATTCGGGCTAACTCGTAAACGTAGATGCTGGTCTAACCAAGCCTGGCCCAAGTTCGGTACATACAAATCTCACTGGAAAAAAACTCTGTTTTTTGGCCCCCTTGATTCCGCGCCAAGCCGTGGGCCAGTGACCAATCAGTCGGCACAGTTGACTAATGGTATTGCCTTTCTAGGCAGTACGAGTCCGGCAGGATAATTTTTCCCAACGACGATCGTATCTACGGCGTCTTCGATCCTTTTTACGGGTCGGACCCCATTAGAATAGAGAAAGTCTTACATACTAAGTATATAGTCGTGTAAGAGCATTAGATCTAGAGATGTCGAAAATTATGGTTTCGCCCCGGGTGAGAAAGCTAACTATGTTGAATCTAGGTTAAGGGGAAAAAGACAATGATAAAAACCTTGGTTAACTTGCCTCCATCTGCATGTTTTTGCTTTCGATACCCCAGAGTGGTCCCTTACAGCTTCTACTGCACAGACATACGTTTACACCTTGGGTAGCCGCGTCGTGGCCTGCAGAACGTCGCATTTTCGAGAGTTATAATGTTTTTGCGCCGGTGTAAAGCGAGGTCATCCTTGTCAGCTACCCTGTTCGAATACGTACAACATTCTCTAGTATAATACTGATAGTACTAGTATAGTCCCCGCGATATAATCTGATGATAATATTTGATATCATGCGATAGAATTTGACAATAAATCTGGTCATAATTTTTAGAGGGGCTTAAGCCGCCCACCCATCCACGGCCGGGCTCCAAAAAACACTATGGGGATCCCATTGCTGTTTTCGCTTCTTCATAACCTCGATCTTCTCTGGCGTTATGATCTCTGTCATGTCCGTTTCTACTCTAGCGTTGCCGGCCAGAATGGCATTCGGCGTGCCCTTAGCAGAGTCCTCCCTACGCACGATTTCGAGGATGTCTAGTCCGTACTGCCGTCCAGCCTCAACGTACTCATCTGCCAGGTTCCACGGCACGGTCTGCACCATGAAGTTACGATCGCGGTGGCACATCCAGCTCTCTTGACCTTCGCTCGCCTTGACCAGCCCATCTGTATGCATCGGATGCAGGACAGTCATGCAGCGCCCGATATTTGATCCGTATGTATCGACAAACTCAGCAAATCTTTTCGCGGCCCGTAAAAACGTCGCGCTAGATAGCTCTTTCACGAGGCCATTGTAGCAATCCATATTGGGCCCCTTTGTCATCACTGCATCACGCTGCACATTCATGCTAGCCAACTCAGATGATCCCGGCTTGACCAGGATGGCCCTCTTGCTAATGGCAGGGTCATTCCAGGGCGCGAACGCGGCATCTGCATCCGCCTGGGGTCCGGGGTACGATGCTTGCGTAAGGATAACAGGCTGTCCCGCATTCGGGGTCCCAGGCGGCGCGGCCGTCAGCACGAAACCGGCCGTCATGCGGGCGGGGGCGTGCGAAAGCGCATCCCACAGCTCAGCCGCCGCATCAAAGTTCTCCCGCGAGAACATGGCCATGATTTCGGGGATCCTGGAGTTGTCAGCGAGACCGAGCTCCGCCGTGGGGTAAATGCGGCTAGTCATCGAGAGGACCACCCCGAACCCCGCACCAGCACCCTTGAGCTGGTCGAAGAGCTCCTTCTCCGGTCCTGTGGACGTCTCCGAGACGTGGATGATGTCGCCCGTGCCCGTGACGAGTTGCGCGCTGATCAGATTGTCGCAAGCGTGGCCCTTTGTCCCTTGGAACAGGTTGATGCCCCCTCCCAAGATATTGCCAACCATGCCGACAACACCAAGGTTAGGCCAGCCTAAGTCTATGTTGGTATGTCGTTCAAGCGTTACTGATTCATAGCTTGGCGGTGTGGAGGTGGGTCATCATACCTGTGTAGAACCCTTTCTCTGCCACGGCAGGCTGGAAGTCCTTCGTCAGAGTGCCGCCTCCAAACGTCACAGTCTGTGACTCGACGTCGACTTCTACCGAGCGGAACTTTCCCATGTCTAGGTAAATCGTCTTGTTGTTTGTGACGACCAGGCCACCGCAGCCTCCGCACTGTGGCACGACCTTCAGCCCGTTCGCAGCTGCATACCG